ATCCTTTGTGTTTCTGTGGTGTCAGTGGTTACTCCTCCACTTTCGTTTCTGATCTTATTTATTTAGGTCCTCTCTCTTTGTTTCTTGATGAGTCTGGCTAACGGTTTATCAATTTTGTTTATCCTTTCAAAGCACCAGCTCTTGCTTTCATTGATTTTTTTGTATAGTTTTTTTAGTCTCTGTGTTATTTATTCCTGCTCTAATCTTTATTATTTCCTTCCTTCTACTTGGTCTGAGCTTTTCTTGTTGTTTTCATTCTATTTCTTTAAGTTGTAGGTTTAAATAGTTTATTGCTGACTTTTTTTTTGTTTTTTGAGGTATACCTGTCGTGCTATATATGAACTTCCCTCTCAGGACTGCTTTTGCTGTGTCCCAGAGATTTGGGGTTGTGTGTTCATTTTCATTGGTTTCTAGGAAGTTTTTTATTTCTTTCTTGATCTCGTTGGTAACCCATTCATTGTTTAATAACATGCTATTTAGCCTTCATGTGTTTGAATGTTTTTGTGTGTTTTCCTGTAGTTGATTTCTAATTTCATTTCACTGGGATCCGAGAAGATGCTTGATATGATTTTGATCTTCTTGGACTTGTAGAGACTTGTTTTGTATCCTAACATGTGGTTTATGTTTGTGAATGATCCATGTTTTCAGCTGTTACTCTCTGGCAGACAGCACCCCGCTGCTTTTCACAGCCTAATGTTTGTGTGTACCCTCCTCAGTTTTGGTGCTCTATGTTGGGGTGCCCAGCTTCAGGATTAGATCCCAGAGTTCTCAGTGGTAACCCCCCACATCTGAGATATCTCTCCGGGCCTTCAGTTGCTGTCTGTGGGCACCCAGCCAGCCCTTTTGCCTCCACCCCTCCTGCTGGTCTCTATGCAGTCTCCACTTTCAGTCCTTAGGTGTCAGGGTTCTCTCCTGCGAGTTTTCTGTTGATTATTCAGAAAGTTTTTCTGTATTTTAGTTGTAATACCAGTTTGTTTCTTGGAGCATGTCCGTGCAGCATCTACTTACTCTGCTGCCATTTTTAATCCTTGGGCATTTTTTTAATGTTGAAAAATCTACAGTCATTTATAATGTCAGTAAATTGTTAAATAGTTAAACCCTTTTATCCTAAACTGTAGATATAACTTTAGGATTCTTCCCTTTTCCCTGGGACTTCCATGCCTCCAGAGTCCAAGTCATTGTTTAGGCTATCTGAGGCTTTGCCATTACTATGCCCTGAATGCTTATAAAAATAAATTTAAAATAATAGTATAAGTTCCTTGAAGTAAGAATATACGAAACAAAAAAAATATATCATTATATGTGTTTGAGCAATAAAATTTACTGCACTTGTTTTCTTCCTTCCTGGCTTACCCTCATCCTATCCTGATTGGTCTGTTAATAATCCACCCAGAAGGAATGCCATCAATGAAAATGCCTTGATATAGGAAGGATTTAGCTAGTTAGGACTATACCATTTTGCTGTGTTAAGTTGACTCTTCAATTTGAATGATGTAATTCAGCATTTGTTCAAAAAAGTTTTGAAGTTGATTTTTGAGGAAAATATTGTTTCTCTATTAAATATAAATATTGATGTTATATTAGTGGTTTGGTCATTTAGGAAAGGAGGAAAAAATACCATGAGAACACAGAGATGCCTACTTTAGTGGACGTAGCTACTGAAATTATTCAGAATCCTCCCTTTTACAGCCCTAGATACCCTGTTTCCAGTTAGACATTACTAAGGACCTGCACAGTAAAATGTTAATTTGAAATTGGTTTCCTTGAAATTGCTCTTGAGAAAGAGTTTACGTCCTATCAACTTGGTTGTTTTAATTAAAAATGTATTTGTTCTAGCTCTTAACTTATTTGCAACACTCCTTTCAAACTTATTAAAATCAAAGTAAATGCTTTTCTGATTATTTTCTGTTAAAACTGCATCATAACAAAATACTAAGATTTTTTTCTTCTGTTTCTAACCAGAAACTTAAACTTTATTCACTTGATATTTATAAAAATGTTGAACATGATTTGATAACTAGTTCTACTGTAGTGTGATGTCCTAATATGAGTACCAAATCATAGCTGTATTTATATATTAATGTTAATATCACATGCAAATGACATTCTTATAAGTATTAATGTTTTAATATTTTGATCATATCAGATTTCTAGAAATATGCAGTTACACCTGAGTCTTAGTTCTTCATTTTGTATATGCATTATTAAAATGTGAAATTGTTTAATAGGTGATTTTATAAAACAGATATACATCATTCAATGAATAGTAAAGCTAAAATTCCAATACCATAAACCCCAAATAGCCGTCCTATTTCTTTTGTCATTCCAGAATTGTATGAATCCTCTTTGAAGTAATAGGTCATCACCTGGGACAAGGTGTTAATAGTACTGCTAACTCTGAAAGATTAAGCTTTTCTGGAGTGGTTTTTATAATATATCAGAACCTTGTTGTGGTGACCTGATGCACATCTACCAAAAATACTCAAATGGTTTTAGCAGTTATTAAATTCACCCATTCTTTTACAGTATTAGAGAATTCTAGAGTTAGAAGTATAAATAGAACTGATTTCTCCTTAGACTTTTCATGTAAGGTTGATTTTTCTTCAGCAATAATAAATAAGTTAACTGTGTTTTACTTATATATCAACTTTTTGAATTGCTTTTACACTTTTTCAATTGTCATATAATATCTAAGAAAGCAAAAGAATGTTCTCATGCAACATAAAATAGAGGTGCCATGGTCAGAATATGAATTTACCACATTGCAAACACACTGATGAAGTGTGGTATTTTTTTCTCTGAAATTTCCACACTTAACAGGAAACATAGACAGCAAGCCTGAGTGGGTGGGTCTCTGAGGTTAAAACTGTTAATAAAATACTTGAAATTTAGTTTTAAATGCAAAGCATTTTTAACCATGTTTAGTTTATTAACAACAGTCGTGTTCTGATGCTTTATACTAGGTGAGTATAACTGGATTTTTTCCACCTTCAAATGACTTCTTTTCCTCTCTTAGAAAATGAAAGTAGTTGATCTCCTAACTATAGTTAGTAAATTCTCTTACAGCTTACATTTAGTAGTTTAATATATGAGAAAGAATAGTTTAACATTAAGAATTAGCATTTATAAGAGAGCCATAGATGCTAAAGTTCATGCTTTAAAAACTTCAAATTCACTTATGAAAAAATGAAATCTGAGTCAACATCCTTTTTTATTTTTTAATTGATAACATTTACATCTCCTAGCAAATGTTAAATGTTCTTATATTAAGGAGATGTCATTAGGCCAAACTAAAAAGGCTTTGGCAATAAATATATGAAATGATAGGCATTTGTGTGGTTTAGATTCATAAATAATTTGTTACTCATGGTTTAGTAAAATTAATAGACTAAAACATTGCACTGAAAACTTAGATATATTATAAAATTCAGGAAGTAGTGAAGGACCTTAAGATTATATAGCGTACTAATAACATAGATACAAGTTGTAAGGTCAGAATTGGGATTTTGGGTCCCCACCCATCATGGTTTTTTCGTTTTTTGTGGGGGTTTTTTGCTGTTTTTTTTTGGGGGGGGGCGTTGCAGAAGAAAATGTTTTTGGCAGAAGAAAACATTTTCTACAAAAGAAAATAATTCAAGAGAGAAACATGGAAATGCAGAAAGGAATAAAGACTAATGTAAAGGGAGAATATGTAAATAAATAGAAAAGAATACCAACCCAATAATATCTTCTGGGATTTAAAATATGTAGAAATAGAATACAAGACAAATAATATAGTAACTTTAAAAGAATAAGACTAGTAAAATATTGTAGAAAATGAACAGGCGAACAGAGGAGAGATTAGAATACTAAGAAAGTAAATATAAGTCCAGATGTGCTTCCTGGTTTGTACATAAATTTTATTGAGTACCCTTGGTTATTGTTACCATGCTTTTTTTTAGTCCATTCTTTCTCTGTGTTCTTCAGTGAATTTATTTATTTATTTATTTATTTTTTCAGTGAATTTCTTACTCAAATATAAAACTATCATTTATAAGATAATTTGTTATGTGTTTTTATACATGTAGTTTAATTCATAATATTAGCCTCCATATTAGCTCTGCATATCAAAAAACTAAAATTTAAATAGATGTCATATATTTTCCATGAATTTTGGCTACTGTTTGAATTTGCATACAAAAAAGACTTTAGTTGTTAACTTACCTAAAATTCTGAGGATGTTTAATCTCTGCAAAGATCAGTATCTTTTCTGAAAAGATGATAGCTGACAATATATAAATAGGTAACAAAACATATTCTTTTATTTCCCACCATGAGACAGAATAGTTAACCTTCTAAATGGGCGGGGAGAGGTCAATGAGGGGGAAAGGAGACGTGTAATACTTTCAACAATAAAGAATTTAGAAAGGAAAGGAAAAGGGAAAGGAAAGGGGATTTTAATAAACACTGCCTTTATAATTGAAAGAAAGAAAAGAAAAATATCCACTGGCCTACGACATATTAGAAGAAAAAAAATTCAAATAAAATGTACGATACATAGCTCTCATTTTTGCCCTGTCCTCACTGAGGCAGAGGATCAGGGTTTAGATTTAAGGGCATTCAGGAGATAATATGCTAGGAATTATTTAATACATCCAAGGGTTTCAGAGACTCTGGAATAGGAAGAGGCAATATCTACAATATTGATATTTGAGAAAATTTTTGGTAGCCATCTATTCCCTTGCTTTTTCCTTTTCTCCTTTTTTTCTGGTTTCTTTTCTTTTTCTCCTTTTCCCTATTCTCCCTCCTACTTTTTCTAGCTTATCTTTTCTTCCTTAATATAAAGCAGATTTACTTTCTTAGGAAAGCATTTGGTAAATAAGCCTCCGACTGCAATAATTTCTTAAAAGTAAACTATGTTTACTCATCTAGAATATGATATGTTAATACAAATTCTAAGTTTTGGCTTATAGTTTGGTGCATAAAATTAAAAATTTTTACATATTAAATTATTTCGGCAGATCCCCAAGTAAACCCTTGGCACGAAAATTAATGGATTGGGAAGTAGTAAGCAGAAATTCAGTATCTGATGACAGGTTGGAAACACAAAGCCTTCCATCACGATCTCCGCCTGGGACACCTAATCAGTAAGTGCAGACTCACATCAGGTGTTCATTTTGCTCATTTCTAAATTATTGACTGTATATGTCCATTACTTGAAGATCAAAATATGTAAATCTTCCTTATTTAAACTTTGGTTAGATATGATTTTTGTTATTGCAGATCATTATTTCCTCTTAGCCTTTCTCTGAGCCTCTAGCATTGTGTAAGTGGCATGGAATAACAGCCTCCCATCAGATGAGGTAGTAGAGCATTCAGCAAGGATGTCACTTTCTTACACAGTCAACTTTTAAAGGAAGGGTCCCTAACCAATAAATCAAAATCTGCTGCTAGACTTAAAATATGAGAATATGGTTGTTGTTGACATAATCCTTTTCCATGTGGATCTCTAATAGAATTTCTGAAGGAGCATATGTTGTCTGAAAATTCTAAGTGATTATGATTCTCTTACTTAAGCTCCTACTCCAGCCACTGCTCTGCCATTTTCTATGGTCTAGAACAGTGATGGCGAACCTATGACATGCGTGTCAGAGGTTACACGCGAACTCATTTTTTTGGTTGATTTTTCTTTGTTAAATGGCATTTAAATATATAAAATAAATATCAAAAATATAAGTCTTTGTTTTACTATGGTTGCAAATATCAAAAAATTTCTATATGTGACACGGCACCAGAGTTAAGTTAGGGTTTTTCAAAATGCTGACACGCCGAGCTCAAAAGGTTCGCCATCACTGGTCTAGAAAGAGGGATTTCCAACATCAATTCCCACAAGCTTGGCCATAGCTATGCTAAGAAGCAGTGTTATTCAGCACTTCCTGTTTATGAGTTATACTCTAGGATTTCTCACAAAGGCTGTATACTTTGGTGTAGATGATAATAATAACATCAACTTGTACTAGCCAAAGATGTTATCTTCATTTTATAATGCCAACAAATGTGTTGTAGTATATATGTAATTAAGATACTAATAAACAGATGTGAGTCAGTACATTGACAGACCTTGTTAACCCATAGGTTGATAGTCAAAATATTTGAATTTTGGTATGGAATACAATATTTGAAGAGTCTTTCTTTAAAAATATCTCATACACATTAATATCCAATAAGTGGCCGAAACCGGTTTGGCTCAGTGGATAGAGCATCAGCCTGTGGACTGAAGGGTCCCAGGTTCGATTCCGGTCAGGGGCATGTACCTGGGTTGCGGGCACATCCCCAGTGGGAGATGTGCAGGAGGCAGGTGATCGATGTTTCTCTCTCATCGATGTTTCTAACTCTCTGTCTCTCTCCCTTCCTCTCTGTAAAAAATTAATAAAATATATTTTTAAAAAATATCCAATAAGTGTACACTACATTAAAATTGTGTCACTGGTGGATGTTTATGAGCCAAAGAATACACTTCTACCATATTGCCAGTAAAGTATACATCAAAAGTTTGGTTCACAGAATGATACCTAATACCTAGATGTCTTTCTTACTACTAGAAAAAATAGACTAAAATGTTTCTGCCTTGCTAATTGCAGGTTGCTAAATCATCTTTCTTTAAAAGAGATAGTTTGTATTAAAAGGCTAATTAACTTGTTAGAAGAATATCCAGAAATTTCTTTTTCTGGGCTCTTTTCCAGCCAGCCATTTATCCATTTGTGATCAGGAACAAGAAATTTAAACTAGATGATTGAATTAATTAGCAGTAGCTCTGATTAATGAAACAATTTTAGGTATGATCTGAAAAGATTGGCTTTTTTCTAAATTTTAAAGAGACAGTACAGTATAGTGGTTAAGAGCATGGGTCCTAGAGTCACTGTACATTGGAATTTTGAGAAAATTAATCTTTGTCCCATTTCCTTTATAAAATTATATTTATAATAATAGTGTCTTATAGTATTGAAAGTTAAATGAGATGCTGTAAGTAAAATGCTTAGAATAATGCCTAGCACAAAATGCACACAATAAGTACTCAAATGTTAACTAGCATAATTAATAATAGTAATGACAGTAATTCATGTGACTATGTCATGTATGAGGATAGAAATATGTTATTCAATATTTATTCATAGGAAGTAAATCAAGTCCCATAAATAAAAACATTCATAAGAATTCAAAAAGAACATACTAAGTAAGTGAAATCAGCCAATCAGAGAAAGCTAAGAACCATATGATTTCATTCAGATGTGGGATATAAAACTGAAACTCATTGACACAAACAACAGTATGGTGGTTACCAGAGGGAAGGGAGGAAAAGGGAGCCAAATATATGGTGATGGAAGACTATTATTAGACTATGGGTGGTGGGTGCACAATGCAATATACAATGACAAAAATAATTCAGGCAAGAAGATATTTCTGAATCATTTATTCTATCCCTTTATTTTATAAGTGTTGATTAAGACACAAAGTTGTAGTAACTAAAACCTATAAACATTGAGGTTGGTAGAGATAATAGATGACTAAATAGGTAAAATCCTTGTGGTAGATGATTATCTATAGCTCAGTTTTTGACTTCTTATTCTGTGTTCTCTCTGTTTATGTCACACTGTTTTTGTCAGAGACTCTGAGTAGTTGATGTGGTTAGTCTTTAAAGTACACACCCATTTTTTGAAGGAATCATGTAAATAACATTTTAAAAATTGAATTAAGCAAATTTTCACTCAGTTTTCTTCCTCTTTGTGTAGTCGAAATTCTGCATTCACACAAGAGGGACCCCGGTTACGACCATCTTCAGTTGGTCATTTGGTAGACCGTGTGGTTCACACTTCCCCAAGCGAAGTATTTGTGAATCACAGATCTCCATCTTCAACACAAGCTAACAGCATCATTCTGGAATCATCACCGTAAGACCTTTTCCTGTTCAATTTCCTTCTTGTAAATAATAATGCCCCAAATTGTTTCACTTGAAATATTCTTGGAAATTAGGGTATTTGATACAAGATTTTATTTTTGCAATGTTTTAAAATTTTATATATTTGCAAATGTACTTACTTGTCTCTGAGAGTTCTTGGTGCTCCCCTCACCAAAGAGAAATCTCCATTATTTTATTGACTCAGTATGTTTTGAACTTTTAGTGCATACACTTAAATATTTCTGCACATACTATAGCACTGTGGTAGTGAGTAAGGTAGTGAAAGGTAGAGTTTTTAAAAATATTTTTCAGGAAGGGACCCATAAGATGACTAGACAGTTTGGAAACATTAAGTAGCAGAGGAGAACTAAATAAGATGACTGTCACACTGAAAATAAATTATAGAAACCATGTACACATGTCTAAAATTCATTCCTATTTCATATTATATACTGATAAACAAATTCAACTTCATAAGTATTTTTTTTCTGCTTTTTAAAAACTTTTTTTATTGAAGTATTATCTAGAGAGACAGGTGCAAATGTCATAAGCAAGCAGCTTGATGAAATTTCACCATGTGAATGAATGTACTTGTGTAGCTTACACCCATAAGCAAAAAACAACATTGGCAGGTCTGTGATGTCCTCCTGTGCTCTCTTTCAGACACACACACTTTCCCAAGGACAGCCACTAAGGCTCTGGGTTGTGTCTTTTTTTTTTTTAAATTAAATCTTTATTGTTCAGATTATTACAGTTGTTCCTCGTTTTCCCCCCATAGCTCCCCTCCACCTGTTTCCCACACCAC